TGTTATAGGAACTGGTTGAGTATATATGCTCATGCGGTTCAACGCCTTGGCAGTACCTTTAACGAATATCTTAAACTAAACTAAAACCCATTCAATTAATTCAACTCAACTGAATTATACAATCAAACTATCTGTGTAATCGAATACAAAAGAAACCGACAGATTTGCTCAACTTTCAGAGGCTTCATGTCACAGCCGTCAAGTAAGACAGATAGGTCCACGACAAGCAGGGCTGTGCTTAGTTAGAAAGGAAAACATCTCACTCATTCTGAAAATCATGCATTTTGATAAATGTCAGTCAATATTTCACTTGAATTTGGAATTTTCATAACCATCAACCTGCAATAGACGACCAGAAAAAAGGGCGGTATTTACTAAAAATAATTTTTGCACTGCAGCGTTCCATTTCCTAAAATGGCAGTCAGTAATGTGACATATTAGTTGTATATTTTGATTCGCTTTGTTTCTAATTTTGTTTAAAACTGCCTCCCTTTTTTAAAACAGGATGAATGGTTAGGTCATACAACTATTGATTACGATCAATAAAGATAACTTAAATGAATGAATTTTCCGGGTTCTAGCCAAATATTAAATGAGCTTGAAATTATATTCCACGTAAATCTCAATAATCTCAGGATTTTTAAAGTAGTAATTCGAACAACCTTAAAATGGACTCCTACAAAATGAATAATAATTCGTGGAAAAAGAATACTAGAAGACAAATAGAAATAGAATCTTTATCATGTTGGAACTTGAATCATGAACCGTTCAAATTATTTAAAATTTTCTTTATGTCTAACATTGAAAGTGGTGAGGAATTTGTTGTGGACGTTAGATCCCTAGAACTCGCTTGATAAATGTCCTTATTTTGGATTTTATTCATGGGCTGATCAATTGACCTTGAGATCACAAATCCTTGTCTGTGGTTGGTTACTGTGTCATTTTAGTGTGCTATTTTGTGACTGTCCCAAGAATGTCTCTACGGTGTATAAATAAACGCGATGTGTGCTTAGGTATTTGTGGAATACACTTTCTACCCCATATCAAGACTTCTTGCTGGTACAGTTGGGTCAAGGGATCATAGTTGCCCACCTGGACGCTGGTTCATTATTTTGTTCTCGTTATTCGACTAAGGCAAACCCGTAATAGTTTAAAGCATACCTAGAGATGAGTGTAACGAAATTCACCCATGTAATTAGCAAACATCTCTTGTTCTTAATTTAACTGTAAAGCTAATTCTCAACTTGAACATCAAATTTTACTTATTAACTCAAACTATCATACCCAATACTACCTTCTCATCCTAAATACTTGAGCTTATTTAAGTCGGTCAAAATTTAATTGTTTAATTATGTTGCCCGTATTCTGATTGGATTATGTGGTTGATTGAAATTTTACAAGGTCATTTTTAGAGATCATTAGTAGGGTAAAAAAAAAGAAGTCCTACCCATAAGCATTTATGCTTGAAATTGTTTAAATAAAGCGAGAATCAAGGGAATTTAGATTTTGTTATAAAAAAATGAACGAACGATATTTCGTTTACAAATTTTTATCTTAACAATATAGTCACGACTTGTATGCAGGTGCATGTATGCGTCTTCTATTGACCAAACAACACTCACTGGACTTATAGATTTTTCTTAAGTAAACATCGTATAAAATAGATAATGTTTTACGATAACTAATTAAAAGATATTAGAATATGATATAAATTCTAACACATCACACATAAACCATTGTGGTAATAAACACTTTGTCAAAAAATCTCAAAAGCACTGGTCAGTATCGAAATTTTAAAGCTTGACTTAATAATTTAGCAGGTAGATTGATAAAATAAAACGTGACACTACTCTGAATTAATTAACACGCAGGATATACGTTTCAGTGCAATTTACCTTTAACAAATATATTCACTGGTTCAACATTGAACATCTTACATCGTCTTAGTATGTGGCTTTTGGATTTCAGTTTTGATTTTTATTGAATTGTATAGTGATGTCAGACAAATTTGGCATATGGTACAACGCTTCTAAAGCGCTATATATATACATTGTTCACCATACATTTAAATAAACATTTCTATAAATGTTTACCAAAATTTACATACATGATTTTAGACGATTCTTGACTGGAATATATTTACATAATATCTAAGTAAGACGTGTTGTCTTACAAATGTCTTTTGAATAAACCTATCTCCTCTCATACTTTATAAGTGAAATAAATTGGTCTGTTCCGTGTTAGATTTCAGATTCACAGAAAATGAAAAACTAGAATTTATTTCATTAGGGAACATGATTAGATTTTTCAATTGATGATGTATTTTACAGTTAAAAAGATTAGTGTATCAGGGTAAAGTCCATGAGATAATTCCAATTCTGCACAGTTTTTATGTGAAACATGATTTGTTTGTTCCGTTTTCTAGTTGGAGACTATTTCACTACTAAATAACATGAATGTACATGCATGCATGTCACTGTCATGAATATTTAAAAACGGAAGTCCCGGACAAAATATGTGTCTTTTTATTCTACGACCAAACAATTAAACTTGACATTAATAAAAAATTTTAAGACTGAAAGATATAATTCGCTTCTAAGATACTCTATACAGCAAAAACTAGAGGAAGTTAGATAGGCATCACTTCATATCAAGAAATAAATGTTTTTAGACATGCAAACATTTAGACGTCAATTCATTCTGAAAGCAACATGCTCAACAGGCCCTAATATCTTCGACACAACTTCTAATAGAAAAACAAGGTAATCATCGCTTAGTGGTTGTTACACATTAGAATGAAACAGATGTTGACTGCTCAATGATTTGTTTACTTAAAGACCAAAGTCAACAATGAGATTTTTCATAGAGGAAAATTAAAATTATACTTTGAAGAGAATTATTTATTAGCTAATAAATTAAATAACGTTGACAAGGAAATAAAACATTGAACAGAAGCACTTATTGATCAGAATAATTTTTCTGGTTTAACAGCATGTCAGTATAATATAGACGTTCCAAATGTACATATATACTTATATATACATTTGTATATTAGTGATTTCCGTTTTGTTCAACACCACTTGTTGCTGTTGTTGTTGTTGTAATGAACATATGGTTATTAAAAATTTACTTTTTGATTTTTGGTGTTTAATTAACCAAAGCGTCATTAAATGAAATTTGTGATTAGTTGGATATCTATCTATCTATCTATCTATCTATCTATCTGTACCTTGAATTCCTCTTCTCGTCTCGTCTCGTCTGGTCTCGTCATATGCTGCTGCTATAATAAATCCTCTTAGTGTCACAACCACTTTATCTCAAAAACAAAAAAACAAAACGAAAAAATTATACACACTGTTGAAACATTTGTTCCATTTCCTATGATTCTTTCTTTCTTGTTTTGTTTTAAACGTTTAAAACATATGGCTTCCATTCATTGCTTGTTTCTCGTACAGAAAAAAAGTAGCAAATATATATATATATATATTTAGAGATAAAAGATGGACAGGTGTGAGAGTATTTCTCCGCTCTCTCGCTCTCTCTGCATAGGTAAACATTGATATATGTAGGTGTAAGTGTAACTGTATTAAAAATTATACACTCTGTTATTGTATATATAAATATAAATTTATAGTTTGATAGATAGATAGATAGAAGAAATGATAGTGAAGTTTATTAAATGCTTGCTGTAGTAACAAACATCTGTTCATTTGCAATAGATAGGAAGTGTTCTTCTTCCTCTTCTTCTACTTCTATTGATTCATTCTATTCATGTGTTTTAGAATTGCATAGAATTTCGAAGAAATTACAATATTTTACTGTTGATAGATACTTTTTCCACTAGTGAGACAATTAATTAATGTCAAGAGTTTGTTAGAAAATAGAAACAGCTAGTGAAATATTGTTGAGCAGCTCAATAATAATAATAATATCATACTGACCCTAAATGATCAATTGTGATGTTAGACAAAACAAAATCAGTCTCAGTGATATGGTGTCGTTTAGTCAATGGATTTGAGAGAAATCTTTTCAGATAACCTGGTCATGATTGTTAAGCCTTACATAATAGGCTGATGATTTTCATGATCAAAGTGAAAGTAAACATTTCATCACTAGGATATGATGTTGAATAATGTGAAATTCGGAAACATTGATAGGTACTACCATAATGTTGATTTTTATTCAACTGTGAATTAAAAAAAGATTGAACACTATCCACAACTGTGTTTTTATCAATGCGATCCAATGTTATGCAACCTGACATAATGAATGATCAATCCAAACGTTTTTCAGGAAAACATATTGAGTAATCAGAAAAACTAACTGTAGATATCCTGAGCTTGAAAATAAAAGTTAATTATTAAAAAATAATCACGCTAATTATTGAACACATTTGAAATCATCAATCAATCATTGTTAGAACACCATTAGAAACTTTGAAGCACTGGACGACCGTCTCGTCCTGGTATGGTACTCATCAGCAGTGCGCATCCACGATTCCTGCACCTCGTAGGGTTCGACCTCAGAACCTTCGGTATTGTGCACGAACGCCTAACCATCGGACCACTGGGCCGGCATCCAACGGTGGTAATGTCTAACTCTGATTGATCTAGGTATTTTGCATGACTTCACCCATTTGTCTTTGGTAGTTACTGCCTACACCCGACAGGGTTGAACTCTACTGCTGATGAATCCCATACCAGGACGAAACGGCCGTCCAGTGCTTCCGGGTTTTCTAATGCTGGTCTAACAATGATTGGTTGATGATTTCAAATGTGTGAAAAAACACTAATCTCCATAACCCTAATTGAAAATAATTATTGAACATTAGTGTTGGACAAATAAGTCTGGAAACATGAAGAACTTGTTTAAGTGCGCCATAAAAGTTCATACCAACCATGTTTGCCTTAATCTATTCCAGTAACATAGTAACTTTGGTATAATTTATATCGAATAAGATGTAGTTTCTGTATTACTTTTTTGTTAAATATTCCACTTACTACTTGTTTTTCTGCCTTGTGAAGAATTTTCTTATTATTCACATTCGCAGACTTATTTTCGGATGATCTATAGAAGAATAAAATAATAATGATAAAAGTATATTACAAACATTTTATGACCTTAACTGATATACATCATGGTTTATTTATTTAATTTATTGTAAGTTCAATAGTTTAAGTATAAAACAGTCTTGTTGAATAGTAACTGGTATTTAAATTCAGAATATACCTTTTGGTCTAAGTGGAAACTTATCAACCAGATGCACTTGGATTATAGTGTTGATGTTCCTGTTGGGATTCGAACCCAGTAGTCTACGCTTTAGATACTGTGAATATGATCTACTGTGTTCATGTGTCCCATTAGGTATTAGATTGTGTAATGACAATAATTTTCACGGCTGTTCTATAACTGCTTTTGACTTGGTTAAACTAAACCAATTCACTAAAGATATGCATATTATGAAAAAGAGATGAATCGATTCCATTTTATGATGTAGAGATGTAAGTCAGTAGAAAACGAAAAAGTAATGAGCAAACTTTATTCTAAAAAAACGCAGAACAGATCAACTTACTTATTAATATAGCAGGAAGCTTAACTAATGGATCAATGCGAGATAGTGTTTACCGTGAAATCTCAAAGTAATCGTAGGTATAATACTATACAGCAATTTTTGACTTAGAATATGCCGATGACATAGTCCTACTTGGTGAAGACGCTGACAAAATGCAGATTCTTCTGACTACCCTGAGCAATAATCCAAGCATGTTCGGGATGCGATTCTCCCCCTCGAAATGCAAAGTGTTGCTTTGGGATTGGCTTGCGTCGGCACCTGAACTAGTGATAGGGAGTGAAGTAGTCGAACGTGTAGACCGCTTCACTTATCTTGGGAGTTTCATCATTGCCGATGGCCTGGTGACTGACGAAATCTCAGCACGGATACAGAAGGCTCGACTGGCTATTGCCAGCTTGCGTCATTTATGGCGTAGGCGAGATATCCGTCTACCAACCAAAGAACGGGTTTACTGTGCAGCAGTTCGCTCAGTCCTACTTCGTGGCTGTGAAACATGGCGAGTAAGATTAGAGGATAATTGTAGGCTATCGGTATTCGATCAGCGGTGTCTCCGATGCGTTGCCCGTATATCCTGGGACAATCGAGTAAGCACTGAAGTTGTTAGGAAAACGGTGCTAGGTAAGGATGGGAAATCAATTTTAATGAAGTACTGCATCTTGATCAGTTGAGAAGGCTTGGACATGTGCTATCTTAGTATAGCAACAAGAACTGATGTGCTTACGTATGCACCTACGAAGTTCCTCATAACGCAGAGATAAATTTTGAATAATCAATTATCGAATACCACTGACTTGGCTGTTAGATGTATTGTTTTTTCCACTGTTTACAGATATTTGTGATTTGATGAACAAAATGAAGGCTTAAGATAATCAGATATCCTAATTAGGCAACTGAAGGCATCCCTGTCCTACAAAACGTTAATTTTGATATGAAAATGGGTGAGCATCTCAAGAGCATCAATTTACTCAGCACTATAGGTATACATTATATGATAGAACGAGGCGTAATTGATTCAGAATCTTCAACCGATTAACCCCAATCACCTAACATCCTTATATTTTGAACATGGTTTAAAATCACTCAGACCAACGAGCATAGTACAACTTGCGCTACAGAATTCAATGATCATTAAAAGGCTAGACAAACATAATATTAGCTACTATACAGTGATCAGCTAATTCTATAACTAGGATTCCGTTTCAAAGGTTGACCAACATGGAATTGATTAAACTTCTGTTCACTAGTGACAGCTCATTCACATTTACTAAGCATTCTTTTTTCATATAATTTCCAGCAAAAAGCTCTGTTTTCCATTCAATTATCAACGTTTAAAGTTGTCATTGATTTCCAGTACTAAAAACAATGCAAAACGACAACTTTGGCTGTGTTAAGACTTGTACATATTTTATTCAAACTCAAACCTACCCTTTATGCATACAAAAAATAATACTGATAAATACTACTACTACTACTACTACTACTACTACTACTACAAATATCTATATCTACTAAAGCTCATGATAACTGACAATAACAGACAAAGATTTCTAGGGGTTGTTTGGTCATATGAAATCTGCATTGTTGTTTTTCTACGTATGTGATTGGTTGCTTTGTTTAGAATAAATATATACATGTGATTGGGGATGGAGACTTGGTAAAGTCTGAAAAATTTGTCATCATTTCCAAATTTTTGTAAATGATGAATAATAGTTTGCTAAATTAGGCTGTTTAAATTGCCAACATATAGCGCATATATTAAATATAAATTTTTAAAAATGTCATTTTTTTTAACATAGTAAAGATTTATAACCATACTGTTGGTGAACTTGTTTGAACACACACAATGATGTGTTTGTATTTTTTTTCTGTCTAGGATAAATTTACTCTCAGAATGATAAGTTAATTTGAATTAATTGGAGAGATGTTGGTAAACTTACGTCTTGGAGTTAGGATCAAGTAAAAAGGTGAAATGAATCATTGTCCAAATGAGAATTCAATTTAAGCAGTTGACAAAACAGCTATATAAAGAACTTAAAATCTTTTTTCATTATCTGCTCAGATGATCGATGAAATCTCCATGAATTCTACACATCGGATGGTCAAAAGGACATCAACATTATTTATTAGTTTAAGTGAGTTGTATGTCAGTTAAAAAAAACTCCGTTTTTTTTCTAGATTACTAGTCGGTCAGACATGGACAAATCACAACTGTGTATCAAATCAAGGTCTCAAACGAGTACACCGGGAAAACAAAAGATAATACTGACAAGTTAAGGATAAGAAAAACACTACAAAACATTCCAACACTATCGGAAATTCACCAATAATAAATGTACACATTGTAAATCATGAGTCGACCAATGTTAGACCACCATTAGAAACCTGGAAGCACTGGACGGCCGTTTCGTCCTGGTATGTGACTCATCAGCAGAGCGCATTCCCTCGCAGGATTCGAACCCAGGACCTCTAGTCTTGCGTGCGAACGCCTAACCCCTGGACCACTGGGCCGGCTCCAGTCGGTGTTAATGTCTAACCTCATGCACTGTCATCGGTAGTAACTGTCTACAACCGAACAGGTTGAACTTCACTGTTTACGACTTCCCATTAGAACTCGGAGAAGATTGCTCACTGAGCTAGTCACTAGTGAGCACACGTAATTACTTCACGGGGTTGTGATTATAAATGTAGTTTAAGTAATATGAATACGGAAAAACAAATAACTGAAGCAACTGATTAACCGTTACTAAATTTAAGCTATGATACGTAAAATATCTGATTATAGGTACTGATTAATACACGGTCCCCGAGCACAATGTCTGCAATTGTAGATCAGATTAAATTACTTTGTCGAAGTGTTTGGTAACTTGTCTATGCTCACTTTAGCTTTATACCTATCTATTCTTATATCAGATTATTGAGGGAATTTGTCATTAAGCTTGTGTCAAAAATATCATAGTGACTTATTTCAAGAAAGCAGTAAGCACCCATTCATTGGACATACTCCTTTTACTTAGAACCATTCGTTTTATGCCACTGTTATTCATTTGATGTTTTTGAACCATGCTTGTAGAATATTTACGATTGAACGCAAGCAGCTTAGACGTATGTTCTACTTTGTACATTGAAAAGCGACGGCATACACCCATTTATATATATATATATATATATATATATGTATATATATATATATATATATATATATATGTATATATATATATATATATATATATATATATTTACGTTGACTGAACACTGTAAAAATATTTGTAAAGCAGTATTTAATATTGTAATAATTCTTATCTAATATTTACGTACCCAATGTGCCAAAATACAAGTGCACATAAACTAATCAATGTTTATTCTTATCAAATGATCAATGTTTTCGTAAAGTACGATGATATAAAGTAAACAGCCTATCAATGATGATTTTAATAAAAACATTGATTACGATTTTTTTTTCAATACTGAAATGATTTCCATAGAATTTCTCAGGCAACTAATGTGATCTTGCGTAAAAATGAGAAAAAATGTTTGTTGTGCAGGTGATTGAAGAGATTTTTCCAGTTTTTCTTTTTTTTCAAAACATAAATCATCAGCCTTGGATTTTATGAGAATCAACGTACGTAGACTTTGTCATTTTACTTGAATGGACTCTCAACGGACACGCCTTGGAGTATGTTAACACCTGTACATATCTGTACAGCATCAACGACAATCAAGGTAGATCCGATGCAGATGTGAGGGCGCGGATTAGCAAATTAAGAGTTACACTGCTACAATTGAAAAATATCTGGAACTCCAAACAACTTTCAAACAAAACCAAAATCAGGATTTTCAATACGAAGGTCAAGACAGTTCTACTGTATCGAACGGAAACTTGAAGAACTACCAAAGCCATCATCCAGAAGATACAAGTATTCATCAACAGTTGTCTTCGCAAAATACTTCGGACTTGTTGATCAGACACCATCAGCAACAACCCACTGTGGGAGAGAACAAACCAGATTTCAGCGGCGGAGGAAATCAGGAAGAAGCGGTGGAAGTGGATAGGACACACACTACGAAAAGCACCGAACTGCGTCACAAGACAAGCCCTCACTTGGAACGCTCAAGGTAAGAGGAAAAGAGGAAGGCCAAGGAACACATTACGCCGATAAATGGAGAAAGACATGAGTTAAATGAACAAAAATTGGAGTAAAGTGGATCAGGGAAGCTCAGGACATAGGTGGTTGGAGAAAACTGGTCGATGGCCTATGCTCCATTGGGGGTAACAGGCGTAAGTAATTAAGCAGGTCTTGGAAATGAAGGCAAATGTATTTTGTTAAGATTACTAGAAATTATTCAAACCCAAGACTTTATCTATAAGTGCGAAATTGTAATATATAAATTATTTAATTATATTTTGATCAACAGCAAAGTACTGATTAATTTATTCTACAAAATTTCAAACTCATCATGAATTATCTACTAAGCTTTTGAATCTAATATATATATAAATGATCTGTTCAGCGGAAATAAATTCATCTGTAAAAATCTGTTTTCATTAAGGAAGTAATACAGATGATTAATCCCGATTGACATTTGTCTATCCTAAGGAAATTACCACGTTATTGTCATTTAGCAACAAAATTTCAATAAAATTAAACTCGGAAGCTCAGCATCAACCAACCAATAGGCACTTAATAATTCAAGTCTCATGTTGATCGTTTACATTGAGATTCAACTGAACCCAAATGTTAGCCACAAACAAAGTTTACCGAAACCTGGGATTGTAAATGGAAGCCTAAATATGCCAAAAATGAAAGACTAATCAGTAACAATCCTTAAAATGCATAAATAACTTCATTACTTACTTATCCTTGTTACCCCATAGGAGGAGTGGGTCGTCGACCAGCATTCTATAACCTACTATATCCTGAACCTTCCTTTTCAGTTTCCTCTAACTGCTGTTCATTCTTTTCACGTCTGTTTCAAAAGAGGAATAGGCCTCGTGACTTCCGAAGAAACTCGCCTCGTCGTAACTCTTCTAAAAGAAGACCTTCAAACTCCCAGGGCAGAGTTAAGATGGTTTGAACTATTTTCTTTTCTGTCTAACGTTTTTTTTATCGAGTTAGTTTTCTACAAGGTGTAGTCTCTAACCCAAGCCTCCCCCTTTATACGGGCTTCGGACCAGCAGTAATCCCAGAAGGGTTCCAGGTGGAGTTTAATATCCATAACAGAATATTACAAATCGTTGTCAATAAGCAACTTTCTTAGTGTTTTTAATTAATTCTTGATTATTTCGTGGTATATTTTTCAGTTTGTAATTTTAATTAGTACTACTTAATTAGTCTAATTATATTATTTGAAATAAAACACAAATCAAGCCTACGTATTATATCAGTTAATGTAATATTTTCGTTATGACTGACTAAATTGAATATGCAGAGTTTTTTATATTGTTTAGTATGGAGCAGAAACTTCGAGAATCATGAAAGTTATCATCCGCAAGATGCAAATGTATATTACCAGTTGTCTACGCGAAATAATTTGGGTCCGTTAACGGACACTATCAGCCACAACCTGCTGTGGAAAGGAACAAACCAGATTTCAGTAAATGTGTAAATCAGGAAGAAGCGTTGGAAGTAGATAGGACACACATTGAAGAAAGCACACAACTGCGTCACAAGGAGAGCCGTTACTTGAAATCCTTAAGGTCAAAGGAAAAAAGGAAAGCCAATGAAAACATTACGCCGAGAAATGGAGACAGACATGAGTGGAATGGACAAAAAATTAGACAGAACTGGAAAGGAAGGTCCAGGAGAAAGTAGGTTGGAGAATGCTTCATTGGGGATTACAGGCATAAGTAATTATGTAGCTAACCAAATTTATATAGATCACATTTATACAGAACAGACTGAATTGAAAGGAAAGTTTTTGGATTATTTCAGTTTGGAAAGTGTAAATTTATGTCTGACTAAATGATATTCACTCGAATTTAACATCAAACTTTTAATGATCTGAAAGTATTCATAATTATTTTTCATAAGGATTAACAATACATGAAAATGAATGTGAATATCGTTTGAAAAGGAAGAAATGATAAGAAAAAGTATAAAATCAAAAATACACGACGTTCTTTATTATTAGAGAGATCTAATTCTATGAATCAAGAAAAACAGGTTCGGCTAAGAGCTCTTTCCACGGAATTTATTGTCACAGCGCAACAACATACTTTTTCCCATATGGTAACATTTACAATAGTAGTGATAATAAAAAGTTCGCTACACACGATAATAGTGAGGAGACAAATTAAATCAAGTCTAATTATTATACAATAAGATCTGCCCAAAACAAACATGCCCAACCCGAATTGGCTTCATTATCCACACTTTTAATGAAAAAAAACCTCTTTCATTATCAGTTCAATCATTTACATCTATAAATTGAGTTGCATATTCTTCTATGATATGTCAAACTTTGAATAATTCCAACTTCCCCGTAAAATATCTAATAGTACATACATAGTGAGCACCGATTATCACATTTGAAATTCTATTTCTAGTAAATCATTCGTTGACCTCTCAATTTTTTTACTACACAACCAGATCGTAAATCTAGTACACTAAGCCAGTCAGATATTAGGCCAAATGTAAAACGACAGATGCTGACGGACAAAGACTATTGATCAAGATTCAGCTTCACTTTCTAAGAACATGGTCATACACTATCGGGTGAAATTAGGGCTTGATAGTCTGGGAGACATCTTTCTGAATTTCTAAATAAGTCGTTCATATATTGTCAATTTAATTATCTGAAATGTCTTTTTTTTCAATGCGATTACAGCCTTTTTACTCACATGTGGAAGGCACTTGAAAACTCAAAGACCATGCAAAGAAAAAAACAGCCTTACACTTTCAATTTATCATTGAATATAGTGAAAACCTCAATGAAATGCCAACCATTTCATGTCCATAATATAAAAACCTGACCAGTGGAGTTCAACCCTGTCGGGTGTAGGCAGTAACTACCAAAGGCGAATGGGTGAGGTCGTGCAAAATCCCTAGATCAATCAGAGTTAGACATTAACACCGTTGGATGCCGGCCCAGTGGTCCGATGGTTAGGCGTTCGTGCACAATACCAAAGGTCCTGAGGTCAAATGCAGCGACATGCAGGAGCCGTAGATGCGCACTGCTGATGAGTTCCATACCAGGACGAAACGGCCATCCAGTACTTCCAGGTTTCTAATGGTGGTCTAGCAATGATTGACTGACAGTTTCATATGGGTAAAAACACTAATCGCCATAACTCTAATTGAAAATATCATAAAAATTCACTTAAAAAAAGCTGGCTAGTTTATTCTATCATGTGTGGTTGTTTTTTATTTATAATGAATTATTGAATAACCATAATGAGAAAATAATAAATTCATTGTAGACATTTGTTTCATTTTTAAACAAATTATGGTTGATATATTTTTTTACAAAAATTCTAACCTTTAATCCGAGAAAAAAAAACGTTTGATTGATAAAGAACAATTAATTCAGTGTGGTGTTAATAATTACCTTTTTTAACTGAAACGAAAAATTGTTACAAGTAGATTGAAAAAATAATAATAATGATAATAATAATAAACGTTTTAATCGTGACAAAGTGATATATTAGTTGAGGGAATTTATTAAAAAAATCAGCAAAAAATTGCCGAATAGCTGGCTAGACAAACTATGCGTATTATTCAATAACGCACACCTGCGGCCCCATCACTGGTCAAATCAAGGATTTTCGGGTTTCACCGTAGAACGCTTAGGACTTCGCCTTTCAATGGTGCCTCGACGTAGATCAAGACATATAGAGAATCTAATCTGCACAAAACTCGTTGCAACACAGACCACAAGCGATTATTCTGAATTGTTGTTACACAGTGCATTGAAATTTACCACAAATTTACCACTTACTTTAGATTTTTAGGCTTAGAAATGTCCATGAGTGTGCTAGTTTGGTATTCAGATGTTTCAGGCTAAATTATCATTGAAAAAAAAACAAGAAAATGAATCAATTAAATTGTAAATAAATGTAATTATAATTTGAAAATATAAACTATGATCAACTATTTGTTTCGTTTTAGTGTAATTAAATAATTTTTTTTAGAAAACTGAACACAATGCCAATACTACTACTACTACTTATTATTATTATTATTATTATTATTATTATTATCACAGTGGAATTACTGACTGACTAGTTGTTATTTGTTCAGCGCAACAAAATTGTTATGTTTCATTCCGAAAAACGAATGAAAGACTACAGGTGAAGGCTTGATTTCTATGCATCAAACACTGATTCGATCAATGATTAACAAACAATCCATTAAAACGATATACCTGCATATCAACTTCACTGTCCGATCAATAGATTTGATTTCAACGCCATAAACTGGTGGTGTGGTGTACGCTACTTATGTTCACATAAGTGAAAACAAATACAATGTAGTTATCAATAAGATCTCATAAATAAGATCATGCAGGGTGGTTGCTCACAGAACATGTCTAATCGTGTAACGTCTCATCAACATACTATACGCAAAATAGAGTGAGTCATTTAGACCAGTGGTCACTTTGTAACTTGATCGATGCAATTAGATTTGCACTGAAAGGTTTAGGCAAACATAAACTTGGTCGATGCTCAGTGGCTAATTAGATTTAAGTATGTCAGTCTTATAGAAAGTCAGTCACGGGCCATATATCTCAATGATGCCGGGTCAGACAGGAGAGCTGTGCGACACTAGAAATAAACTGCCAGAGAGGACTAGTTCCCTCAGGAGTAAAGGTACCGATGAATGCTGAATAGGACAAAACCTAGGTTCATGGTTTTTTTTACCGAATCGCTTACAATCACTTAACATAATGATTTTTCTGTAGATGGTAATTAAAAGTCACGCTAAAATCTTCTCCTCATCATAAACAATAAGCAACTAATCTGTTGCCTAATAGTTTAATGATAACAGAAATTCCAGTTCAAATATTAAATTTCTTTTCCTTCTATTGAAAAAAATCCACCTAAACCTAATTTCATTCTTAAGGTCTGAACCGATGTCATTCGTAAAAATAAATTTTAGGTTATTACCAGGAAATTAACCTAGAAAGAGACAGTGTTTAATTTCATTATCACGGAAAATTCAACCATGATTTCTTTGTTGCGTAATTTAATTTTAAATTTATATTGTGAATTTTATTGTTATCTGTTTAATTTTGGCGTCTATTATTCAATTAACTCTAAAATTGTTAGTTAGCAATCTATTTTTGAAAAATATCAGATATTAATTAATGTTATCCTTGACCTACATCCTTCCAAAAGATCACGATCATCGATACAACAGAGATAGTCTTCCTTCAGTTAGGATTATTGCATTCATTATATAACCGATAACATTAGTTTTTATGTATATTTATTGAAAGCAACAATGACTAAGTGTTAAAAAAAGGGAATATTACTGTCTGGTTATTTTATATTGAATTCATTCATATTAATAACATTCGCATAATTAATAATTATTGTTAGGTTCGTCACTAGGTACGCTTGAAGCTAATAAGAGTTCACCTTAGTCAGTAAACGCGAACGAAATAATCACCAGCGTCCAGGTAGGCTACCTGGATCCCAAAACTGCAAAATAGAAGTCTTGATAAGCGTAAAAAGTATATTCTACAACACCCAGCAAGCACAATCCATTCAAACACACAACTCTTGTTTATTTATACATCATAGAAACGTCCTTGATACAGTCACAAAAATAGCACACTAAAATACACAGCAACCAATCACAGCCATGGATTTTCCTGGTGGAAAATGAAATCTCAAGGTCAACTGGTTAGTCCATTCTGTCAAACGTGAAATCCGAAATAAGACATTTATCAAGCGAGTTCTGGGGATCTAACATCTCCAATAATTATTATTACGCAAAACAACTTAAAATACTGATGCAGTTCGACTGGTGTAAACTGATTAAGGCATAAATGGAAGAAAGGTTCATAATGTTCAATTATTGTCAAAAGTTATTCACTATTTTATATACAATCGAAATGCTGAATACATTTTGTTACAGATTAAATCTATTTTGAATTAACGCAAATTAATTTCAGTAATGAAACGTCATATTCTGAAAGTGTAGGATATTTTTTTCGGATATTCTAACCAAAATGGATATTTTGTGTAAAATAAAAAAGATTAGAATCGATTAAACGAGGTGTTTTCTCATTTAAAAATTACAGTTGTTAACAATGTGTATAATAACACTGTCAAAATACTCGTACTTCCACTAAGTATAATTACGAATATCAGTAATAACTTGCCACCATATAATTCCGTAGATTGTTACAAATTAATGTGAGAAAGTTGAAAAAAAACTGGCCATTAGAATTCACTCCTTTGTACCAACCACATATTCACAAGTGATTAATCACTTGTTGAAAAACTGTATCACAACTACGGTTAATTATTCATATAATGGTTTACTTAAAACTAGTCAGTGACCAAAGTTCACATGTTGAACTATATAATAGGTGCCATTAATTGACCAATAACAACTAAATGCATTTTCATGATTTAAAACGTTAATTATTCACTTAATAATATATCAACGTATTTATTAAAATCATCAACCAATCATTGTGAAGACCACTCACTAATAGAAACCTGAAAACACCGAACGGCCGTTTTCTCCTAGTACAGGACTCATCTGTAGTGCGCATCCATGACTTCTATTTATTGGACTACATATTTGTCCCTTCTTGACACTTGGTGAATTTGTGTCACGTTAATGGCTGTTACTGACTCTTTTGTGATAACTTATATTTTCCATAATGTCTCTTGTACTTTTTTTAAGATAATAAACACTCTCTGATAATCAATAGTTTACCACTGATTTCTTCTATAAAAATACTTGATTATGTGAACTAGGTGCTCTGAATCTGTTCAGAAAAAATCTATGAATAAATACAGTGTTTTTAGAAAGAAGCAAACAGAGTTTCAAGGGTAGAACATGCTTCCTTGACGTCATAGTGTGAACGTCACTTCCAGTTAGGCTACTGGCACACAGTTGTGCCTTGCACTGTTCCCTCAAATTAAAGTATGATAGACGATCACGACGCAGTACTGTTTTAAATACTGGTGATTTCCAGCTCTACCACACCCACAAAGTTCAAGCATCTATTTAATGCCTTACCGATAGTTTGCTATCAATAGACTTTTGAAAACTTTAGTTTACTTAATATTAGCAGAAAATAAAGTAGTTCCGTGATCAAGTGATATCATGAGCATGGTTTTAATTGATTTAAACACTAGTGATTTATGAAATTGATTTTCTCCAACCGTCTTTAACATGTGATTACGTGTTAAAGAAACAAAAAAAAACAGTAATTATATAACAGCCATATATACTTTCCATAAAACAAATACTCTTATGCTAATACTTACAAATGAATAAGATTTTTCATTTTTCTTAAGATACGCTGTTGCACCAAGCATCACTTGAACACGATCCAATTCTTTCTCCAATCTAGGCAATTCTTTTGTCTTCATTTCGGTATTTTTATTGGCTAAAAATGTTAATATTGATTTCTGTTCAACGGTTTGATGTAGTAATTCACGACTCAGTTCCTCGTTTCGTATAGACTGAGAAGAAAGGAAAACGTATTCAGAAATATACAGACCAACAAGTAGGGTTAGACACATTGAACCAAACTGAGAAAATGCTTCATTGAAACTTGTAGTGTGCGTTGTGGTGTTTCGTTCTTTCAGCTGAATGTTCCACTGAACGAAACACCACCACAATCATTCGCCTGAGCTACAAATTTCCTCAACTTGTGGTGTTCATTTGTCTAAATTGTCAGAAAAATCCTCAGTATTCAATAGATACATCAATGAGTGAATTTCAGTGTATAGATAGCGACAAATGAAATCTTCTTGTAGTAGCAAGCAAACATTACGCTAATCTTGTTATAGGAATCATTGAACTATTTTACTGAACATTCAGGCACTCTGGATATCAGAGTATTTAACATACCTAGGTATTATTGTCAAAAAAGCATCCTGATATTGATTATTTTTGTAAATTTCTCTTTGAAATGAACAACCTTTAAATCGGAAAACTAATTAGTCTATGAAAGTATTCAAGAAGACCAACGTTATTCATTTTTTGATATAAACTGAATTGTCAATACACTTCCTGTGTTACTGATAAATATGCAGTTTTATGCAGTTTTTTTAATATGGATTGTCAGTATCGAATCATCATGTTAGACCTATTATATAAAGCTTAGTTTGAGATCAAGCCAATCGCCTCAATAAGTGTCGTTTGTCTCTATCATAATGTTATGGCCTTTGAGCCTTTCAAATCAATATTGAACGAGGTATCGTTTAACTGACGAGTCTCATACTAGGGCGAAACGGCCGTCCAGTGCTTCTAAAAGTTTAATAATGATCGATTCCCTTATTTCAACGAATAACTATCAATTGACACAGTTCTCATATCAAAAGTAATGAAACAACTCTCTACTACTAGTAAATATGTGCATCATTGCCAGAATATTGCATATCAAATCAATTTATAATCAATTTATAAGTTTAACACGCTGTTTTATTGACTACAGTTCACCGACAAATTTATATCCTATTTGATTAATTAATTAATTAATTAATGATCAATGATCAATGATCAATTATTAGTTTTGCATTGTATTTCTTTCTTTTTTTATAACCTACTATTTCCAAAAAAGACAAATATTCAATTAACTTGACAAGCTGTTTGCTTATTGTTGTAATTCATGTGTATATAATTGGCGAATAATAATGATAATAATAATAATGGACCGATTAAAACAAGTTTCGTACAAACCTAACACATAAAACAAACCCATCAACATTGAATCAATAGGATATAATGAAAAAAGAAAAAAAAAAGAAAATCAGAAAAAAATAAACAACCCAGAAAGAGAAAAAACCGAAGAACAAGCAGAAGCAGAAAAGAATGATATTTTTTTGCAAAAGCAAAGCAATTGGTGGTTGTTAATTAGGACAAGAGTGAATTAAGCATTGATTAGCGAAAAAAAAACAATCTCTCTCATTCAATTTCACTTTGCAGTTTGTTTTTTTATTTTCTTATTCTAAAGATAAATTGTTAGTTGGATGAATGAATTACTTCAGACACCACATGTACATATATATATATATATATACATATATATATATATATATATATATATATATATATATATATATATATATATATATATATATATATATATACAGAGACACTTTGTGTCTGTTGCCTTGAATTTTATTTTTAGACAAACAAATGAAACCTGTTCACTGTTTAGGCGAACATTTCTGTTCAAATGACTAAATAATTGTTCAAGTCTCTTACGTATTGCATTACAGTTATACTAAAAGTATGGAGATCAGTAATACTGTCCAGCTGTCTGAATCAAAGTAGCTGAAACTAAGGCTTGAAAACATGGAATCTAATGGCTGAAAGTAGCTCAAACTATCAAATCACCAACTGGAATACTTGAAAAGAACAAAAAACAGTGTATGACGATTATTGTATTCCTCTCAATAAGTTATCCTTAGAACATGTCATATTACACAAGGTAATCTCTGAATAATAATAATAATAATAATGCATGTCATAGTGATTCACAGAATATATTAACTGAGATTCATCAATGAAGTTACGATACACCCATTGATTGAAGTGATCGCAGTGTATGAGGCTTCAGTGAGATATTGTGTGATATGGTAACTAACAAAGCGACAGGTTACAATAATCTAGTCTCATTGTGAAAATGTATTTTTTTGTGCAAACAAAGTTTGAAATCATTTTGAATCTCAACTGTATGTGAATAACATGAGTTGGTCATATGGATGATTGACTGGTTCAGTGTTGGCAGTTTTTGACCTAGTTTAATCAATGAGTTGTTGCATGTACACAATTTGCAAAATCAATAAGCTCACTGCTTCAACAAACAAATATTACACATTTGAAATCATCAGTCAATCATTGTTAGACCAGCATTAGAAACCTGGAAGTACTGGACGGCCATTTCGGCCTGGTAGTGCGCATACACGATTCCTGAATCTCTCAGGATTCGAACCAGGCACCTTCGGTATTGTGCGCGAACGCCTAACCAACGGACCACTGAGCCGGCATCCAACGGTGTTAATGTCTAACTCTGATTGATCTAGGGATTTTGCGCGACTTCACCCATTTGTCTTTGGTAGTTACCGCCTACACCCGACAGGGTTGAATTCCATCGGTCACGTCTTCTCAACTAGAACTCCGAGAATTTCTTCATGAAATTAGTTACTAGTGAGCACTGTTACGATATTTTTCGCCAGAGTTTCGGAGGTTTGTATTTTTTTACACATCATCAATGTATGATTGTTAAACCACCATTAAAAACCTGGAAGCACTGGACGAAACAAATATTAGTTATCTTCTACCTAACACGTGTCGTTATTCGAGTCCTGCCACTCTTGTGTAGTTTGCAAATAATCAACGGCAAGCATAACGCTCATGTCCAGATCATTTTATTGGTTACACAAAAAACAAGCAAAGACACTGTTTGAACATATTATAAATTTCCACATAATTTAGGATAATAAATCATTCAAGTTAGTTATTTCCATCATGAATTCCGGTTAATTTTAAATAAGTTATTTAAATCAAGAAAAATACTGAACTTTGAACATGACAGTTATATAAAAGTTGAGTTTCACTGAATTCATGAATCCACCAGTGTTAGATCACCATTAGAAATCTGGAAGCATCCTAGTATTGGACTCATCAGTCGTGTGGATCCACGAGCCTCACTCAAGGGAGTCGAACACAGGACCTTAGGTCTCGCGCGTGAACACTTAATCTCTAGACAATCGAGCCTGGTCCCTAATGGTGGTCTCGCAAGGATCGGTTCATAATTTCGATGATATATAATTATTAATTCTGGTGAATTTTGATTTATTTAACTGATTACTTATATTTCGGTGGTTTTCTAATTTCTGCTATATTCCAAGATTTATCATTGATTTGAAATAAGATTTTGATGATTATATAGTTGACTGGTATCGAGACAAACCGGTCAGAAATGAAATAACAACTTTTGAATTTTTGCAGAAAAATTCAAATTTTGAATGATAATGTCCTTCTTCACATGCAATCAAATGGAAGTATTGTTTTTTTATGGTAGTTCAAAGAAATATTTTTGTCACTATCTAACAAAAACAACATTGTTTAACACTTATTCTATAAAAAATTCTACATAACATATAGATGGATAACTTATTTGTTTTTTTTTTGCTTACTTCATACATAAGAAATGTGAAAAAAGAGATTCACTGTATGTGCGATTTTCACTTAAAATAACTTTGCTTAACTTAACGCAATAACAATAATATTCGTAGTTATGTAAGCTAGCCTGAATAAACATACGAGCTGTTAACATATATATATATATATATATATATATATATATATATATATATATATATATATATATATATTGAATTTTGAATTTAGAAATTAAACTTCAGCCCTTTTAGGAAATTCGAATGGTTTTAGTTTACGTAGTGAATTCCCTTCCCAAAAACGACACCGATGACAGAAGACGATGAATTCATGTTACTTCATTGGTTCCTCTTCAGTAGTTATATACAAGTTAATAAGCTTGACTAATGTGAATTATTACTATTAACATAATCTGAAATGTGACGAAAAGTTAACGATATTCACAGCTCACAAAGTTTAAGTGACAGATCGTTTCGTCCTAAACATCTTAAATTCTTTTTAATAAAAACTTGTTAACTCGTATAATTTTTAACTAATAACATCTTTGTTGTTTCGTTTGAGTGCTCACTTTATGCAAGGACTTACTAACTGACAAGTACATAGAAATTTAAGCTTAACAATCACATTAAACTGAATCGTTTGGTATATAATAAGATAAAAGAACTCATGCCGATACAATCATCCAACTAAAACTAATCAATATTATTTAAAAATATAAAAAAATATATGCCTGAAATTCACCGATTTATAGGGTAAATAATAATGAAATGAATCGATAATAGTTAATCACCAATCAAAGTATGATTTACACGAATGCATCATACTTTTTGTTATAGTTATAACTAACTATAAGTTATTGCACTTTATTGTATTAAACGTTTAATAGATTTATCAAACTAGCAAGAGTCCTTATTTTAAATCCTTCCGAGTCCTATGTAATAACTGTACAATGGGACAATTTTATTAGTTGTTTCGAACTTATACAGAGAAACGAACAACAGACTAGTGTCTCAATCAAACAAATTAGTAACAGTGCGGATTGGTAAATACATGGAGATTCTTTTAAGAGATTGATTTTGATTGGACATAGGATTAAAAACCTATCAAATCTTTAGTGCACTATCTTCTTTGAGGAGGCACGATAGATAGGTGTCTCTGTATTACAAGTACACTTGTCTACGGTTTTCGATGTGTGTGTTGTACCGAGAATTCAGGAGCATTTCCCAATTCATTTAGTCAGTGGTCGCTAAATGTAAGAGTATAGTTTTCAGTGAGAACCACATTTTGAACCCTAACTTTTAGTTTATTTGAAATTTTCATTCGATACGCTGGAATAAACTACGGTGGCATGTTCATAGAAAACATATGTATATAGTTATAGAAGAGTGGAATAAAATTCCTAATAAAACTCATGACCACATATACACTACTCACTCACTGACTGAATGTAAAAATACTTGCAAATGCTATTGAACACTGAATAAATGATAATTAGTATAAATAAAAAATTAAGAGAAGTGTCTGTTTAATCAGTTTCTCATCACAGTTCTACACCAATGTATATGTGTGTATATGTGTAACTTAACAATCTTCACAACCCCGTAATGCAAATTATCTGTACTCACCAGTGACTAACTTCGTGAGGAATCTTCTCCGAGTTCTAGTGGGAAGACGTGACCAGTGAAGTTCAACCTGTTCGGGTGTAGACAGTAACTACCGAAGACTGTGTATGAGGTTGCGCAACTCCATGAATTGATCAAGTTAGACATTAACACTGTTAGATACCGGCTCAGTGGTCCGATGGTTAGGCGTTCACGCACAATACCGGAGGTCCTGGGTTCGAGTCCTGCGGGGTGCAGGAGTCGTGGATGCGCACTGCTGATGAGTCCCATACCAGGTTTCTAATGGTGGTCTAACATTGATCGATTCATGGTTTCAAAAATGTGTAACTTAACAATCTTCACAAGCCCGTAATGCATATGATTTAATAGTCATCGAGTAGTTACGTAATATAATAATTATACAATATCACAATGAAACCCGAAATCATATTACGTAATCGAAAGAAGTAATTATTTGAAAAATTCAACTCCACAGCTTCTGGGTTACAAGACATTTAAAATAATTAACAAAGCATTTTGACGAAAGATCAATGTTACATAAGAATCAAGAGAGAACTTTTGGAAATATGCAAAATTATAAAAATAAATAAAGAATTTTTGAATATTTTGGAAAAATGAGTTTAAGTCAAAGTTAGACTAAAACCCACTGTCATAATGATGGACAAAGTATGGATAGTGGTTGTACAAACTTACTTCAATTGCAAAGTTTGGGTTTGTGAACATAGAATTGAATGACTTCTGCGATATGCAAAAGACAAACTTGCAAACCATGCGGTAAATTTTATGCAGAATGGGGAATGACCTTAAAGGCTTACTGTCTTGTATCCTCCAAGTAAGGAAGAATAGAGCTCTTAATCACTCCTGTTTGTCCTCTGCTCAACGAGGATGGATGATATTCTTCTATAGGATGACAAACGTGTAGAGTTGAATGCCCTATATTTAACTAGCTCTACAGAAGCAGTTGAATCAGTAAACACACATAGATGCAGCGAATTCAGATAGTCTGTCTTTGTCGGTGGATACCATTGTCGGGTGATTGATTGTAGAACACCACATTCAGTTTGACTGCAATGAATGTTTCCCGCATTGAATTTCTTAACCCTTGATCTATGATTTCCCCCGGTAGCATCAGTTAGAAATTGCAATGTTAAGATAAAAACTAAATGAAAAGAAATATCCTCGCTCTATTTGTTCGTTAGGAATTGTCCCTATACTCAAATTAATGATAAATCTATTTCATACTCTTGAATTCTACTTTGTCAACTTAATTACTGTGCATATATATATATATATACACACACGCTTATGTTATAAGAGTTATAGTCATCTTACCATTCTATTTAATTCTTCATGTAAATCCCCTAGTTTCTTCTTTAATTCTGTACAATAATTGTTTAGCATATCATTTGACTTTTGCAATTCAACTGAATGTTTTGCAGCTTCTTTGGCTTTCTCACAGACAAGTTGAAGTTGTTTATTCTATGAAATGATAAAAATAGAGCAATTTCGTGTCTTTACACCTGAAAGTAGATATTGTTTAAATCACACATTGAAATCGATAGAGTATTAGGTTATAACTTTAGAGATCATTAATTTTGATACTGATCATAATCCAACCACACTATCTGTGCATGTTTTGATCAGACCCATTGCCTAATTAAATTGTTAACATAGTTCTAGGTGGTGTTTCGTGTTTAAAAAACAAACATTGGGTAGTAATCTTTTATTTCAAACAATTTCACAATGAAAACGATTATTTATTGATGTTATTAGGTGGTAGTCTTACTATTGGTGAGGCGGTTGTGTAACTTTCATAGTTTAAATCACTATCCTTGAACTTCCGGTGAAAGCTTAAGACCATGAAGTCCAGTTATAACTCTGGTGAGACAGTGATCCGCTAAGTGGAATGGGAGACGGTTTCACAGTATCTTGGATTGAGTGAAGCTGAACATTAACATTAGTGCATGCTGACACATTAGTCTAGGAGTTAGGCATCCATATTCGAGACCTAGAGTGCCAGGTTCGACCCCTGAACGCAGCGTTGGGAGGTGCGCACTCTCAAACAGTCTCATACTAAAACGGAATGGCCATCCAGTGCTTAGGTGGTGATTTAACCACGAATTATCTTTTGATCAGTTAGTGAACTTATTTGCCTGACTATATTATTACATTAATGATTGTCAGAACAAATAACATTAAAATGATTATAATTTTAACCAACTTCCATCCGTGATGTAGAGTAAGTGCTAGATTACAATCTCAAAATGTTAAACATTCTTTTAATTTCTAAAAACTGTAAAAAGCACTACTTTGATAATTACTAATTATTGCCATTTTTTCACTCACAAAATAGGTAAGAATTAAACCTTAACAGCTATAACTGAAGTAGAAATAATTTTATCAAGACTATTCTCAACTGTAATACAGATAATTCTACGCAAAGTATCTGAGTTATCTTCAAATAGCGGTACACATTCCAAGATTTTAGGTTATTGGAGTGAGTGAATAGGAAACAATGCTTGACCTAGATATCGAGCTAGTAAGGACTAGTATGAAAAGCCTACCTGTAATCTTAAGTTACCTGTTATTTCCCATGGGATTTCGACCCACCTCACTCGTTTTCACTGTCCAGTATAACATTCAACTTACTAATAATCAGAAATCAATCGATCGTGGAATTATAGGCCCCACAGGAGATCAATATCGGACCTAGCAGCCCAACTATAACATCTTGATTTCGGAACTCAGTGATCCAGAACTGGATACGCTGTGAATTATCGATCCCCTCGAGATTATAGGTACGCTTTGCTGACGTGTTTCAACCAGCTCAAAATCTATGTCAAACACGGTTTCATGTTACCTACCACAATTAACTTAACAGATAAACACAGGACTCACAATTTCAAGTTAGTTAGACCAGTGTCCGGAGCACGTCAAGATCAGTAGAGTTCGAATAGCACTGAAGAAATACATAAACATAATAGCTAGCTTCGTGAGAAAATTCTCGGAGTTCTAGTTGAGAAGACGTGACCAATGGAGTTCAACCCTGTCGGGTGTAGGCGGTAACTACCAAAGACAAATGGATGAAGTCGCGCAAAATCCCTTGATCAATCAGAGTTAGACATTAACACCATTGGATGCCGGCTCAGTGGTCCGATGGTTGAGCGTTCACGCATAATGCTGAAGGTCCCGAGTTCGAATCCTGCGAGGTGCAGGAATCGTGTATGCACACTGCTGATGAGTCCCATACCATGACGAGACGGCCGTTCTAATGGTGGTCTAACAATGATTGATTGATGATTTCAAATGTGTAAAAACACAAACCTCCAAAAACTCTGCCCGAAAAAACATAATATTGTGTCCTACTCAGCGACCGGACTTGAACTTTGAACCCTCAAAGAATTATTCAGCTTAGTATGTCTAAATTAGTTCAGTCATCGATAAAAATCCTAATAGATCTATTTATATTACAAACTGTTAATTATTATTTGTGTTAATATTAAAAAAAGCTTAATTAAATAATTTTTTTAAGGTACACTTTATCCACATCGGTACAATGATTTATTCACTACAACAGCACGTGATGCTAAATTATGTGAAGTTTTGATCATTTCATGCCAGTTCCGCATTTTTCTCCACCCCGCACCCCCCCCCCCGCCAAAAACCAACAAAAACACATATTACAGGTGTGCATAGTAGATTTACTGCATGACATAATTAGTCATTTTTTTTAAAACTTCTTTTCACCTTTGGCAAGCATTGATTGATTTTGTTTCCAAATTTTTTAAGTGGTAGTTATCTTTACATCTTTGCCTTTTCATTTCATTGAAATCGGGGTTGGAAGGTTTGGTGGTTAGGGATGTTTTCAATTTGTGCATTGAAAAGGTTATAAATAAATAAATAACTGGATAAATAAGACAACCGAAATCGTCTGAAAACTAGATACACGCCATGCGTGTCAAAAGTATATATTGTGATGAATTTAGATAACATGGCTTATTTATCTATTTAGTTATGATTATGCTGGAAATGTCAGAACTGTGGTTGATGATTTGTGTTTAATGATAACTAGTTCATCAATGATAACACTTTGTCCGCCTCAATTGTAATTCATTGATTTAATTGTATTCATCCTGTCACACATATGTAACAGGTTATAGGCTGGATGTGACTGACTCACAGACTGAAAGATTGTTTGAAATAAAATGAAATGAGAAGAGTTCACTAATGTCTAGATTTGTTAATTAACATCAGTTGACAATGGGAGTAAACAAGAAAAATAATGCTTTTTAGTCAGTCAGTCAGTTGCAACGTAGAACTTCGTACGTATGTACATAAGTTCAGGTTGCCACACCGCATTACTAACACAGACGCAAATGTCAAATCAAATCCCATAGTGATAGAGATAGCAGAGGTATTAATGGAAATGTAGAAGACTAGGGTTTGAAGATATTATTCAAGAAGTATAATTCAGTGAGATAAGATTAGAAAGACAAAGGTAGGTAGAGGTACTGACGATTCCAGAAGATTAGGATTTGAGAGAGCACAACGAATGGATGCACTTGCGCCATTGCAAACGATTTTGAACTATGTCGTTCAATGTCTCTAACCATTGGTGACTTTCATCACGCGGACTCCAACCAGGTAGCCTACATCTACCAACAGGACTCAGTCCACTTGTCAGTGACTTCATGGATATGTGCCATATTTTGGTCTGACCACCCCTAGATTTCTTCCAACCTACTCCTACACCACAAAACATAGTTCGTCGAGGCAGTCGGTGGTTAGGCATTCGTATGAGCCTACAACAAAAAAGTTTCAACTGGATTTTAAGTTTATGCTTTATCCACAAAACATGGAAGTTATCAAAAACAAAACAGGTCACAACCAGTTTACAAATTCTGTAAACTTTATACTTGATAGGAGTTGTGAATTCATATCACTGATAGAAATACTGATAATCGCTTTGATAAAAAAAACAGATAGATGTTGTCTCTGTAATTTCGAAGCATATAATTCGATGATCTTAAACTCCAAAATCAGAAATTTGTTAATATTTAAGTAACATGCATATGGTTCAACTTTTCCTCACTCTATCAACAAAAATCTAAATCACAGTCAGTTGAATTCAGATGTTCTCAGTTTGTTTATTTAATCCTTGCTGAGTTTAAAAGAATGACACTTTAACTGTATATTTCAAGTAGATTGGTTGTTTGAAAATATTACTAGTATTTATTTGTTCACTTAGAAAAAAATAAGTCACCTTGATTTGCCTTCTATGTGATATGTTAAGATAGTATTATATTATCCCCATAAAAGTATATAGCCAAACTGAACAATATCATTC